TTTATTAGTGTCTTTTGTAGACTCGCTGATTGATTTTGCCCAATATTTGTGTACTTGTATCTTCTGTGTGCTTGCCAGATTTGTTATTGATCTGTTTTGTCATCTGTTGGGGGTAAGTGCACTAGTTTAGTTATGAATGTTTGGATTCTTTTTCTTAGTGAGGAGCCAGTATTTTGTCATATTTTACTTGAAGTGTCTGTTTTGGTTAAGGATTAAGGCTAATGATGAGCCTGTGGTTTCTGGTAGATATAGGTTGGGGGGCGGGAGTTCAAGAGGACTGTTGCACTGAATGCAGTCACAGACACAGTCATAGGAGTCCCTTTTCTCCTCTGTAGTGATTCACTTCCAGGATCAGGTTGGTTGGTTAGTCCTTGCATCTGCTACCACTATAACCCCTTTCTGAAATAATAGTAACTTTCAACATCACATTTTCCAAGATAATTGTACATCATTAGGTGGTTGACAGATGTGTTGTGTTAGTGAAAATCAATCTGTGATGAGGTTTTATGTGTGGGGTGGGGTAATTTCACTTTGGTTCACTTTTTTTTTAAGGTTTCAATTGTACTTTATTTCTTCAGTAGGCCATATTTTAATGGATGCACAGCACTTTTACTTGGCATCAATTATTATTTCATTTAAGAAATAATTTAGCTGTATCCTGTCAGCTGGCATGATTACTGATCTCTCCATTCTGTGGGGGTGACTCTGCCAACAGGGGAAAGGTTCCATTCTATTCCAATTTGTGTTGCTGTATAGGTCCATGCAGCAATACAGAATGTGGCTCCACCAACTAAGATAGCATTACCATATTTGTCATGGAAATCAGGTGTACGTTTCTGGTGGCTCTGCCTTGCTACCATTTGTTGAATGCTTTGGACTAGAAAATGACCTAATACGTTCTTTGGCCAAAGGAAACATCATGGAGTTGAAGTTGAAACTGTAGTTACTGCAGCTGCCGGCTTGGTGCAAATTACTTCCCTTGCCACTTTGGTTCCCTTGATGTGACTGATAAGAGCTTGTGGGTATATGAGCTGTATGAGCTGCAGGATGAACTTCAGAAACAAATGTAGTGGATCCACTTGCCCTGCACCGTTCCTAATGAGTCAGTTCTCTTACTGGGAAGCGCCAGTGATAGCTATATTGGATGAGGAACTGTGGACCCGAGACCAGGAGACTCATCTTTTGAGGCAGAAGAGGGTTCCATAGGTTTGAATTTTGCTTATCAGCCTGTGTTTTGCATCTTTCTTGGAAATGGAAAATTTTTAGAAAATTTAAAGTTGTATGTAGGGGGGTGGGTTTTTACTGAACTAATTGTTGGCTGGAGTGAATTTAGGAGATTGAAAACTGCAGTAATTCTAAATTTCTTTGTTACAGTAAGTCCTTCATTCAAGTTGTGAACTTCCACAGATGCTAACAAACCTCAAATCAATATTCTTAGATGGAAACATTACAGAAATAGGTCTGCGGGACACTGTCACAGTTGTGCTGCTGTGTGCTTACTTACAGGGCAATAGTGTATAGTGGTTCAGGGCTCAGTCATAGTCCAGGACATATGGAAGCAAGAGGAAAAGCAGTGGTGATGTAGAAGGGACTCTTAAGAAGTGCAAAGCAATGTACATTGTATATTTTTGTCAAAGGTGTAGAAGACTCACTTTGTTGGACTAAAAAATCTGATTTACCACTGGAACTTGCAACTTGTTGGTGCAGGCTTACTCTACTTTAGGAACAAAATGATATTTTGTAAAACTGTTTACTCATAAAAGTAAATTACCATTTCATATTAACATATGAAATAGAATTGGACTTTAGTTTAAAACTTACTAATATAATTGAGTCTTTTAAACTTTTGGTCATAATAGAGCCAAACATATGTTAATAAGCAACTGGAGGCAGGCTTAGTGGTACATGCCTGTAACCGAGCATTCAAGAGGCTGAGGCAAGAGGATGGCTTTGAGTTCAAGGCCAGTCTGGATTACATAGTGAGGCCCTGTATCCCTCCAAAATAAAAGCAAGTAAATTTTTTTTAGTATATGGCAAGAAATTGAAAGTTACTGTAGCTAAAAAGGAGGATAGAAGGGATCTTTATATATTCTCAGTTCTTCTGTCCCCTCTTGTTTTACTGAACTCAGTTGTGCCACAAAGAATTTATAAGTAGAAAAAGAAAACCCATAAACTGGGAAAAAATTATAGCTGACTGTCCCTCTAACAAAGGCCTTCTCTCTAGAACATATAAAGAATGAAAAAAAAAATCAAGTCCCCCATATTCAAAGACACAATCCAGAAATGGGCATCTGAGATGAATATATACTTCTCAGAGGAAGAAATACAAATGGCAAGTAAATATATGAAAAAACATCCACTGTCATTGGTCATTCAAGAAATGAAAATTAAAATAACACTGAGATTCCAACTCACCCCAGAAAGAATGGCTAACATCAAGAAGTCAGCCAATAGCAAATGCTAAAGAGGCTGTAGAGAAAAAGGAACCCCTTTGCACCATTGGTGGGCGTGCAGACTGGTACAACCACTAAGGGAATCAGTGTAGAGATTCCTTCAAAAGTTAGGATCGCTATTCCTATCCTGGGTATTTTTCCAGAAGAACTGAAAACCTCTTACCACAGTGATATATATGTACCCATGTTCATAGCAGCACAATTTGTCATAGCTAAATCCTGGAAACAACCCAGATGCCCATCAACTGAAGAATGGATAAAGAAGATGTGGCATTTTTACACAATGGAGTATTATTCAGCTATAAAACAGGATACATCTGAATCTTTTGTCGGTAAATGGATGCAACTAGAGAACATATTGTCAAGTGAAATAAATCAGATCCACATGTGTAAACATCATAATGTCTCTTCAGTGTGAGAACCTGAAAGAGAAAAATGGAATCTGCAGGGTACAATAGACACCGGGGAAAGGGAATTAATTTATTCAAAGTAAAGAGTTACTGGGTTGAGGACAAAGCCAGGAGAGGGAGTAGGGGAAACAGATTTACCTATGTAAACAGGATGGTTTGGACAACTGGACTGTGCATTTCTGCTGGGCTATGGAAAGAAGCAGTTAATGCTTTAATTTGTTTTGTCTCCTTTTTTCAATTGTTTGCACTTTTTCTTCTTCCAATTTTGCATGCATATATCTGGTAATATGAATAACTGGTTGGAAGACAGCACTATGTATTACAACAAATACTGTGAAATTCATATTACTTTGTTAAGTAAAAATCTATCACTTGTTATTTTTTGTCCTAATTCTAATGTGTAGTCTCTTTAAAAAATGATAAAAAAGAATTTATGAGTAGAGTCATGCAAGGACACATGCTAAGAAATGTGTTGTTAGGTGACTTTGTCCTTGTAAGAATGTAACATGTACTTAAACTAAGACGGCTGCAATGGCTGTGATATCCCTGGTAATGTGATCTTACAGGACCACTGGCACATATGTAGTCCACTGTTGATAACGGTGTGGCTGATGTAATTTAGAAAGATGATTACTTTGAATAGGTATTGCTTTTCTTCTCTTAGTTTATTTTTTAGTCATGATTATAGCCTAAGTCTTAAAAAAATAAACTAAGCACATATACAGGTTCATGGTTGTTTTTTTGTTCTTTGTATTTTGGGTCAGGGTCTACAGGGTATTCACGGTCTCACTACTAGATCAGACTTGTAGAATCCTGTTTAATCCACATGCTGGGATTACAGGCACAGGCCACCATGCTCAGGGGTCTCAGCATGCCCCGGGGGCAGGGCCAGCACAGCAGGCCTGCGGATTGAACCCCGGCCCCTATGCCTGCTTGCAGGCACTTTAATTCACTGAGCTATTTGGCCAGCCCTTGTAGTTGTTTTTTGTTTTTGTTTTTTTTTGTGTGTGTGTGTTTTATTTTTTTATTTTTTATTTTTTCAAAATTTTATTGATAAACAGCAATGAGACGGTTTCAAATCAAATCGGAAGTACAGATTCAACAAATAACACACTGCATATATTCTTCTTAGTGGTTAATTGCTGTGCAAGATGCGGACTTGAGATCCTATTTACAAACACCATTAGAATAAGTCATTCTATTCATTAAGAGAATGCAACTATATATCTATCCCAACCACTTTGAATACACAGGTACAAAATGGACATTCATAGGTATACCCCATTTTTTCTAAGTTCCGTTATTGAATATTATAGGTGTGTAAACTCAGCAAAATATTCTAAAAGAGTCCAGTAGCCCATAATAGCATTGGGTCTTCTGTTTAACTGGCAATGTCAGAAATTATTGACCTGAGTCCCCCACAGCTCAACATAACAGCATGGCTTTACTTCCTGTATTTCGTCTTCATACTTTTCTACTGGATGGTTAAGACCAAGGTAAAGCAGGACCTGTGCAACAAGAGTTGTAGCTTTTTGGTCTGAGAAGGTCAGTGAAATCCCCTGAGGATTTATCCTGAGATCCTGTACCTCAGATTGTAGAACCTTTGTTAGTGCAGCCATGTGGATGAGTCATGGCCATTGCTTGGCCAATGTGCTCTCTGTGAAAGCCTGAGAGAGTGTTTTCTCCCCATGTGACTCTCCTTAGGCACACTCTACATCATTGTAGTTGTTTTTTGAATGGTGAGAGGATTGTACTCCTTTTTACCAAGACCTGTATCTCTTTGGTGCCTTTTGTAGTCCATTGTTATTTCTGGTTTCTTTTGTATTTTCCCAGAAAAGTTGCAGTATAAAAACATATTTCCCATCCACATTTAAAAAATTCCAAATAGTAGTGTATTTTATACTTTCTTTTACTTTGATCTTTTTACTTACAATACCATAGTTACATCCAAGTACACTCAGACCTTCTTTTAATGGTTGCCCAGTAATTACGTTGATGTTCCATAATTTGTTTCCTTATTTTTGTGCATTTCGAGTTTTTCCAGTGGGTTTTATTTATTTATTTTTTTTCTTGCTGCTATTAGTATCATGGATTAATAGGTAAATTTATTCAAATTAAGGAAAACTAAGGAAGTGTGAGTATAAAGTTGATTGCTCTGTAGCCAGTCTCAGTCCTTCAGAGTGTAGAAGACAGAAAGCCTGGGCAAAGTATAGTAAGAGGAGTTTGAGGAAGGTTATGAAGAGGCTTCTCAGCTGTCGTCTTCCCCCCGTGAGGTATCAGCCATGTCCTTAAGCCCAAGAATGTGTGTTGCTTGTCCGAAGTTCACTCAGTTTGCTTTTGTATTTTAGTTGTGATATAAGTGTAAGAGCAAGGATTGGCTAACAAATCAGTTTCTGGATTTTTAAAATATTGTTTTGTTGGGCCAGCCTGATAGCTCAGCTGACTAAAGTACCTGCTTAGGCAGAGCACAG